CGAATCCTTGTTTTTTAAACAAAGGTGCGATCGTCCCCGTGTACCCGGACGCAAAACGCCTTGCGGGCAGTTTATGTCTCCCCTCACCTTGCCCCCTTTTTGAGGCAGTTGGAAAAAGTACAAAAAAATGAGTGGTAAATATTTCCCCCTGACCGGCTCCTTTTCTGCGGGTTGCCGGTGTTGATTAGAACCCACTGTGTTGCAATAAAATTTGGCAATCATTGGTCCGTATTTTCAGGGCCCCCTTTATCCCCCTCATTTCTTTCCTCAAAGTTCCCAGAGGTTAGACCTTTGGACTTTTCTTTTCAGAAAAAGAACATTTAAAATGTGCCTTTACACTTCAAAATGGAGGCAACACTCTCAGCTTGTCGTCATCGGCAGCGGCCGACGACATTATATTGTATGCTACAAATTTCATAGTCAGCCCTTTGAGTCCTTTTGCCTTTACAATCTTATTTGGTCACAAGGAGTTCTTCCACGCTGGGGGAAACCCGCCATTTTTCTCCCTTTCAAAAACCCAGGCATACGGGAATGAAACCTCCACTATCGCCCCATTGCTTTACCAGTCAGTTTGAAAGAAATGGAAGCTGAAATGACTTTTTGGTGGTATTTAGGGGGACACACAAACAGTTTCCCCACTCGTCATATGGCTTTCTAAGGGGTTCTACCATAGCCCCCTTACTCGCTTGGTAGTATGTTGAAATGCCTTTGCGAAAAACCCTCATTTATTCCCAAATTTTTTTTGATTGAAAAGGGCTTGCAAACTTGGGGAAAATATTTTAGCCCCAAGCCACTCCTTAGGCTTCAGGCAATTACCCCCTTTCCCTTAAGAACTTTTTAACGACGGCTTTTCCGTGTTGGGGTTTAAATAATGTGCTCTCCCGGGACTTTTCCAGTAAAGGTGTCCCCAGGGATGGTTCTGGCACAACACTTTTTCCCTTTGCTATTAATGTTTGGCCTTAGTCTTCCCTCAAAAATTTTTGGGATCCTCTTGTGAGACTTCGTTTTGCCTGTGCGGCGCGACTGTCACCTCCTTTTCAGTTTTTCTCCAATGCAGTCGACCGTGTTTCATTGGGCCACCACCTGGGTTTAAATTTTCGCACTAAAACCCACCAAATCACTTTCACTAGACGCTCTGTTCTTGATCATCCTTTGTACCCCTATGGTCCGTTCCCCCAAAGTGATACAGTAAATTTCGGGCCTCCTCTTGTGTAGGTTTCCCGGAAAAATCCTTACCCTTTGAAGGCAACTTGTCACAGCGGCTGAACCTCTTAAAAACCCCTTTCTCATCTTCTGGGGAGTGATCGTCGAACCCCTTCCTACATTCACCCTTATTTTTTCGAATTGATAGGTGACCAGTTATTTAGGGATCTCCTGCTTTCCCCCTACCTTAACCCATTCATCACCCGGATTTCGTTTATGCCTTGGTGCTTTTTGCTCTTCCCCTGTCGAAAAGCCTCTATGCAGAAGCGAACGTTCCATCTTATCGATGCCGTGATTGCCCATTGACTGCGCTATATGGTCGCTTCATGTCTCCGCAATCCTTCCATTTATAGAATGGATCATTGATAAGTTGACATTCTTTATTTGTTACGCGCCCTGCTTACTCCGTACCTTCTCTCTTCGCCTCATTGCTCTTGTCCTATCTCTTCAACTACCACCTTTTATTGTACATGTGCATCTCAATTGTACCTAACCCCCTGGGAAGTTCCAGCTGTTCGAGTCTGTTCTTTTCTCCTCTCACTTGCTCGAAAGCCCAAACTGTTACGGTCCACTTCCCGCTCCTTTTTCTTTGACATTTCACTTCTTTTCATGCCATTGCTGTGTAACAAGATGGCTCTAAGTCTTCTGAGGCGTAGGATTAGCAGCAGTGTTTCCGGCAGCGTCGTACAAGGGCATTTACTATTCTTCAGCTAGTATTTTTACTGCTGAATTATATGCTTCCTTACAGCACTTATCCGTATTGCATCTATGCCTGTGTCATTTTCATTTGTGGTTGTCTAGACTCTTAGTGCTTACAGGATATACAAAAATTTGATACACCTCCACCCCTTAGTCTCCGTATCCAACTTTGGCTACGCCGCATCTTATAAGCATAAAGATATTGTTTTTGTTGGGTCCCTGGTTAATGTTGACGTACAGGGCAATGAACAGGCAGACACTGCTGCGCGGTCAGCAGTACCTGAACTACCAGTTTCTTATAGAGGTATTCCATGTACGAACTATTTTGCTGTAATATCTTACCACTTCTACACCCGGTGGCAACAACGTTGGTCTACCTATGCCGGCAACAAATCTTCAGTCTATTAAACGAGTATGGTTACTGGCGTCTTCTTATCACCAGTGTCGAGGGTTGGGGAGACTCTCTCTCCAGTCTTCGCATTGGCCATACTCGTCTTAATCATGGATATCTCTGGAGAGGCGTCTTGCTCACTACTCTGTGAGAATTGCCAAGCTCATTATCTGTCACCACATTCTGTTGGACTGGCCACTTTATCAACGAGCACGCAGAATTACCTCTGTCTTCGTCGTCGCCCCGCTGTCTCTCTTTACTTCCCTTTCAGGCTGATGGACCTCCTTTCATCGGACTCTCTCATTGATTTTTGACAACGACTGACTTACTTCACAAATTCTGATACTTTCAGCCCTTTCTACTTGTATCTCTTGCTACCCTCTACCCCACGTATATCCCTGCCTCCGTGTTTTTGTAAACCTGCGGATCCAATCCCTCCATTCTGCCATTTCAATTCCCTTGCTTCCTTCCATACCCTGCAGTGCTGTAAAGCCCTGTGGCTTACGCTTCTTTTTGATTATAATAATAATACCCCTCCCTCCCTCCCTCCCTCCTCCAGATCGTTCTAGGATGATCTCTACCCCTCATCCCTCCCTCAGTTCATTCCTAGGATTATCTCCACCCCTGCATCCCTCCTCAAGTCGTTTCTAGGATGATCTCTACCCCTCCCTCCCTCCCTCCAGTCTTTCCTAGGATGATCTCTACCCCTCCATCCCTCCCTCCAGTCCTTCCTTGGATGATCTCTACCCCTCCATCCCTCCCTACAGTCGTTCCTAGGATGATCTCTACCCCTCCATCCCTCCCTCCAATCGTTCCTTGGATGATCTATTACCCCTCCACCCTCCCTACAGTCGTTCCTAGGTGGAACTCTACCCCTCCATCCCTCCCTCCAATCGTTCCTTGGATGATTTCTACCCCTCCATCCCTTCCTCAAGTCGTTCCAAGGATGATCTCTACCCCTCCATCCCTTCCTCAAGTCATCCCAAGGATGATCTCTACCCCTCCATCCCTCCCTCCAGTCGTTCCTAGGTTGATTTTTTCTCTACCCCCTCCCATCCCTCCCCCAGTCTTCCTTGGATGATTTTTACCCCTCCATTCCTCCCTTCGTCGTTCTAGTAGTTATCTCTCTCCATCCCTCCCTCCAATCGTTCCTTGGATGATCTTACCCTCATCCTCCCTCAGTCTTTCTAGGAAGATCTCTACCCCGCCATCCCTCCCTCCTGTAGTTCCTAGGATTGTCTCCACCCATCCATCTCATCCAGTCTTTTCCTTTGATGATCTATACCCCTCCATCCCTTCCTCAAGTCGTTCCTAGGATGATCTCTACCTGTCGAACCCTCCCTGCAGTTGTTCCTTGGATGATCTCTACCCGTTCATCCCTCCCTCCAGTCGTTCCTAGGATTATCTCTACCCCTCCATCCCTCCCTCCAGTCGTTTCTAGGATGATCTCTACCCCTCCCTCCTTCCCTCCTTCCCTCCAGTCTTTCCTAGGATGTTCTCTACCCCTCCATCCCTCCCTCCAGTCGTTTCTAGGATGATCTCTACCCCTCCCTCCTTCCCTCCTTCCCTCCAGTCTTTCCTAGGATGTTCTCTACCCCTCCATCCCTCCCACCAGTCTTCAAGCAGTTGTATTATAACGTTAGTAAACAACTGTTGAAGTGTAACCCAGAGTCTAACATTGACCATACACTCCAGCTATAAAGACGCAGAGTCTAACATTGACCATCACCTCCAGCATAATATGAAGCAGAGTCTAACATTGACATCACATCCAGCATATAAGACAACAGAGTCCTAACATTGACCTCCCCTCCAGTATATAAGATGCCCGAGTCTAAACATTGACCATCCACCTCCCAAGCCATATAAGACGAGAGTATAACATTGACCATCACCTCCAGCATATAAGACGCAGAGTCTAACATTGACCATCACCTCCAGCATATAAGACGCAGAGTCTAACATTGACCATCACCTCCAGCATATAAGACGCAGAGTCTAACATTGACCATCACCTCCAGCATATAAGACGCAGAGTCTAACATTGACCATCACCTCCAGCATATAAGACGCAGAGTCTAACATTGACCATCACCTCCAGCATGTAAGACGCAGAGTCTAACATTGACCATCACCTCCAGCATATAGACGCAGGAGTCTAACCTTGCACCATCACCTCCAGCATATCAAGACGCTGAGTCTTACATTGACCATCACCTCCAGCATATAAAGGACACAGAGTCTAACTTTGACCAATCACCCCATCATATAAGAGCAGAGTCTAACATTGACCATCAACTCAGCTATATATGACGCAGAGTCTAACATTGACCCATCACCTCCAGCATATAAGACGCAGAGTCTAACATTGACCATCACATCTGTATATACGACGCAGAGTCTAACATTGTCCATCACCTCCAGTATATTAAGACGCAGAGTCTAACATTGGACCATCACCTCCAGCATATAAGACGCGAGGTCTAACATTGACCATAACCTCCAGCATATAAGACGCAGTAGTCTAACATTTAACCATCACCTCACAGCATATAGACGCCTGAGTCTAACATTGACATCACCTCCAGTCATATAAGGACGCAGAGTCTAACATTGACCATCACATCCAGCATATAAGGGACGCAGAGTCTAACCTTGTCAATCCCTCCAGCAATATAAAACGCAGAGGCCTAACTTGACCATCACCTCCAGCATAAGTCGCAGATTCTAATCATTGCACCATCATCTCCAGCATATAAGACACAGAGTCTAACATTGACCATCACCTCCAGCATATAAGACGCAGAGTCTAACATTGACCATCACCTCCAGCATATAAGACGCAGAGTCTAACATTGACCATCACCTCCAGCAAATTTAGACCGCAGAGTCTTACATTGACCCAATCACTCCAGCATAGTAAGACCACAGGAGTCTAAATCGGAACCATCACTCAAGTTATAAGACACAGGGTATAACATTGACCATCAACTCCAGCATATAAGACGCAGAGAGTTTAACATTGACCATCCCCTCCAGCATATAAGACGCAGAGAGTTTAACATTGACCATCACCTCCAGCATATACGACGCAGAAAGTTTAACATTGACCATCACCTACGCATATAAGACGCAGAGAGTTTTACATTGACGTCTCCTCAGCATATAAAGACGCAGAGAAATTTAACATTGACCTTCACCTCCAGGCATTAAGACGCAGTGGAGTTTATCATTGACCATCACTCCAGCATATATGACGCAGGAGAGTTTAACATTGACTTCACCTCCGGCATATAAGACACAGGGAGTTTAACCTTGACCATCACCTCCTGCATATAAGACGCAGAGAGTTTAGCATTGACCATCACCTCCAGCATATAAGACGCAGAGAAGTTTAACATTGGCCATCACCTCCAGCATATAAGACGCAGAGAGTTTAGCCTTGACCATCACCTCCAGCATATAAGACGCAGAGAGTTTAACCTTGACCATCACTTCCAGCATATAAGACGCAGAGAGTCTAACCTTGACCATCACCTCCAGCATATAAGACGCAGAGAGTCTAACCTTGACCATCACCTCCAGCATATAAGACGCAGAGAGTCTAACCTTGACCATCACCTACCCGCATATAAGGACGCAGTGAGTCTAAACCTTGGACCTTCACCTCTGACATTTAAGACGCAGTGATGATTTATCCTTGACCATCACTTCCAGATTATAAGACGCAGAGAGTCTAACATGACATCACACTCCTCTATAGACGCAGAGAGTCTAACCTTGACCATCACCTCCAGCATATAAGACGCAGAGAGTCTAACCTTGACCATCACTTCCAGCATATAAGACGCAAGGGGATTTTCCAAGACTTTTTGTGTGGAAAAGCGCGCCTTACATTCCGGAAAATATGTTAAATGGCTTGATTTTATATAATAAATCAAGAGGGAAAGTATGAATTAAATAAAGTCTTTTAAACAGCTATGGTTTTGTGTATAATAAAGTCAATAAAAAGAATATATCCATTATAAAAATAGAAAATTTAAAGAAAACAAGTTTGTGGACATTCTAAAAAGATATGAAGCAGCGGAGGAAAAAAGTGAAAAATTGTAATGTATTATAATGTATTAATGTATTATAATAAAGGTCAGGATGTTGTAATAAAGGTTAGCATATTTTAATTAAGGTCAGACTATTTTAATAAAGGTCAGGATGTTATAATAAAGGTCAGGATGTTATAATAAAGATCAGGATGTTTCAATAAAGGTCAGAATGTTATAATAAAGGTCAGGATGTTTTAATAAAGGTCAGAATGTTATAATAAAGGTCAGGATGTTATAATCAAGGTCAGGATGTTATAATAAAGGTCAGGACGTTTTAATAAAGGTCAAAATATTTTAATAAATGTCAGGTTTTATATAAAGGTCAGAATTTTTTAATAAAAGGTCAGCTGTTTTAATAAGACTCAGGAGGTTTTAATAAAGCTCTGGTTAATAAGGTCAGGATGTTGTAATGAAGGTCAGGATGTTATAATAAAGGTCAAGATGTTTTTATAAGGTCTGGATGTTATAATATAGGTTATGATTATTTATAAAGGTCAGGATGTTTTAAGAAGGTCAGGATGTTTTAATAAAACTAGAATGTTTTGATTAAAGGTTAGGACGTTTTAGTAGGTCAGGGTGTTATAATAAAGGGTCAGGGTGCTTTAAAAACTCAGGTTGTTTTATTAAAGGTCATGATGCTTTTAATAAAGCTCAGTACGTTTTAATGAAGGTCAGGATGGTTTTAATTAAAAGTCATGTTGTCTTAGTAATGTCAGTTGTTTTAGTAAGGTCAGGATGTTTTAATAAAGGTCAGGATGTCTTAGTCAAGGTCAGGATGTATTAATAAAAGTCATGATGTTTTAGAAAATGTCAGTATGTTTTAGTAAAGGTCAGGATGTTTTAATAAAGGTCAAGATGTTTTGTTAAAGGTCAGGATGTATTAGTAAAGGTCAGGATTTTTTAGTAAGGTTCAGTATGTTTTAATAAAAGGTACAGGATGTCTTAGTAAGGTCAGGATGTTAATAAAGGTCAAAATGTCTTAGTAAATGTCAGGTTGTTTTAGTAAGGTCAGGATGTTTTAATATAAGGTCAGGATGTTTTAGTAAAGTCAGGATGTTTTAGTTAAAGGTCATGATGTTTTTAGTAAAGGTCGGATGCTTTAATAAAGGTCAGGGATGTTTTAGTAAAGAAAATCAGATGTTTTAGTAATGGTCAGGATGTTTTAGTAAAGGTCAGAATGTTTTAGTAAAGGTCAGGAGTTTTAATAATGTCAGGATGTTTTAGTAAGGTCAGGATGTTTTAGTAAGGTCAGAATGTTTTAGTACAGGTAAGGATGCTTTAATAAAGGTCGGATGTTTTAGTAAGGTCAGGATGTTTTAGTAAAGGTCTGGAGCTTTAGTAAACGTCAGGATGTTTTAAGTAAGGTCTGGGATGTTTTATGTAAAGGTCAGGATTTTTAGTAAAGGTCAGGATGTTTTTAGTAAAGGGTCTGATGCTTTAATAAAGGTAGGTTGTTTTAGTTAAAGGTCAGGATGGTTTAGTAAAGGTCAGGATATTTAGTAAAGGTCAGGAGTTTTTGTAAAGGTCAGATGTTTTAGTAAAGGTCAGGAATGTTTTAGTAAAAGGTCAGGATGTTTTAGTAAGGTCAGGATGTTTTAGATAAAGGTCAGATGTTTTACGTAAAGTCAGGATGCTTTATAAAGGTCTGATGTTTTAGTAAAGGTCAGGATGTTTTAGTAAAGGTCTGAATGTTTTAGTAAAGGTCAGAATGTTTAGTAAAGGTCAGGATGCTTTATAATGGTCAGGATGTTTAGTAAAGGTCAGGTGTTTTAGTAAAGGTCAGGGATGCTTTAGTAATCGTCTGGATGTTTTAGTAATGGTCAGGATGTTTTTAGTAAAGGTCAGGATGTTTATAAAGGTCAGGATGTTTTAGTAAATGGTCAGGATGCTTTAATAAAGGACAGGGATGTTTTAGTAAAGGTCAGGATGTTTTAGTAAAGGTCAGTGATGTTTTTGTAAAGGGTCAGGATGCTTAATAAAGGTCAGGGATGTTTTAGTAAAGGTCAGGATGTTTTAGTAAAGGTCAGGATGCTTTAGTAAATGCGTCATGGATGTTTTGTAAAGGCTCAGGATGTTTATTAATAGGGTAGGTTGTTTTAGTAAATGTCGGATGTTTTAGTAAAGGTCAGGATGCTTTAGTAAAAGGTCAGGATGCTTTTGTAAAGGTCAGGATGTTTTAGTAAGGTCAGGTTTTTTAGTAAAGGTCAGGATGTTTTTGTAAAGGTCAGGATGTTTTAGTAAAGGTCAGGATGTTTTAGTAAAGGTCGGTGCTTTAGTATAGGTTCAGGATGCTTCTAGTAAAGGTCAGGATGTTTTAGTAATGGTCAGGATGTTTTAGATAAAGGTCAGGATGCTTTAGTAAAGGTCTGGATGTTTTATAGTAAAGGCAGGATGTTTTTAAGGTCAGGATGGCTTTAGTTAAGGTCTGGGATGCTTTAGTAAAGGTCAGGATGTTTTAGTAAAGGTCAGGATGTTTTAGTAAAGGTCAGGATGCTTTAGTAAAGGTCAGGATGCTTTAGTAAAGGTCAGGATGCTTTAGTAAAGGTCAGGATGTTTTAGTAAAGGTCAGGATGTTTTAGTAAAGGTCAGGATGTTTTAGTAAATGGTCAGGTGCTTTAGTAAGGTCAGGAGTTTTGTAAAGGTCAGGATGTTTTAGTAAAGGTCAGGATGCTTTTAGTAAAGTGTTCAGGATGCTTTAGTAAAGGTCAGGATGCTTTAGTAAAGGTCAGGATGCTTTAGTAAAGGTCAGGATGTTTTAGTAAAGAATACGCTATGTAGTCAAGCAAAAAATTAAGTTCATTATTTATATTCACCAGTAATATTTAAGAAAAATATTAATATATTTACTGATGAAGTTGATCATAGTAGATTTAGTAATGAAGTTTATTATGATAGATTTAGTGATGAAGTTGATTATGATAAATTTAGTGATGAAGTTGATGACGATAGATTTAGTGATGAAGTTGATGATAGATTTAGTGATGAAGGTGATGATGATAGATATAGTGATGAAGTTGATGATGATAGGAGTCATTAAGAGATAATAAAGAAGGTAACTACTGAGTTGTCTTATATCAAGTTTACTGAAATTGTTTAAAATTCATTTCCAGGAGATATTCTCAGTGATAATGGAATTCCTCTTGATCTGTATTATTTTCCATCTTATAAGTACCAGGAGGATATATGAGTGGTATACAGTCATTGTATCAGTGGGGACACAGTGTTGAAAATAGGCGTGTGAAACCTAAAGTGCATATACATTTCTAAACCCACGGAAGAGAAGCATCAGTGTCCATTGAAGAGGAAAAAAACTAGTTTTACAGTGCTGTGTGTAGAGTGCCAGGCTCAGTACAACGGTTGTTGTGGAAGGTGCCATATAGGAAATGATTTGTGACTAGCAGTGAACGTAGATCAGTGAGGGGAAATAAAGATCAGGGATTAGCATAAACTCAGAGAGCAGAAAAGTTAAGAAATGGAAAAGGATTACTGCTAAAACCACGGGAGAATGTAAGATTATTTATTAATAAAAGTGAGGAATGCAGTGAGTAGCCTACAGATGTACCATACAGTTTGGGTCGTGTTTTATAAACTGAAGGACTGCTTCCTCATACCATATATAGGATATAGTGAATGGTGAGGTATTGATGTTCAGTGATGTACGAAATTTAAAATTGTGGATTACAGCAATCTGTCAATTACCCAATACATAGTGTACAATATTGGAATATTAAATGGGTTGGGACCACCACCCGGGAAAATTATTGCAGAGGCGGACAGAGAAATGTTAAACTATCGCTACAGGTATTATAACGAGGAAAAAGGTTTGAATAGGCAGTGATATAGTGTTCTGAAGTTGTGGATGAGAGTAATCCTTTTAAATCCTTTAAAACCGAGTGCTAGGTAAGCTATGGTGTAATTATATGGGAACAAACTGCGCAAGTTTTACGGTCACCCCACTGATCCCCTCACCTTCCCCCCGCGCCTTCGTACACAACCAGCTGGGTTTGGTTCACCCCCTGCTGGCCAACCATACCACGGACCGGAATTATCACCAAACCCATCATAGTGGAGACGTGGGGATGCAAAATGGATGAGTATTAAAGCCATAGTAGAAATATAAAATTAAGAGATAGTTGATTGTTGTGCAGGGAAACCAGTGACATACAGTGATGGATGTGGAAAAGGATACACACCACCTAATCCTCTCCGCCACCATCCATCACACCAGACACCCCAACCAGCGGGGTTGGCCTCACCCCTGCTGGCACCCATACCCCATACCCCGGAACCACCGAAATACCTTTCACACCGAACCAGCACACCACTACATATAACTGCCCAGGACAAGATAAACAGCAGTGATCAGGACTGGAATCGGATGCTGTAGGATGTATGATATATGATGTTATTCAACATAAAAGTTTTTATTGGGTAAGAAGTCTCCATACTAATTACATCCCACATACACCATGTATGGACCTTAACACCCACACTGCATGCAGAGCTGAAAGGTAAAATCCTCAAGGAAGGTTCCTTGATGTTGGTGGGGCTCTTGATTTGAGTATTGGATTCTGTGCTCCAGTTCCCCCAATTAAGCACTGAATGCCTTCCACATCCCCCCCAGCCGCTGTATAATCCTCCGGGTTAGGTGCTTGCCCCTTGATTATAATAATTATAATGAAAGGTAAAGTGAAGATCAGGTTCTTGTGGTACCCAGTTGCAAATAGGATACAAGTAGGTTGGCAGACCACCAAATATTACCTGTGGGACATGTAAAAAGGCTCTTGGGAAAAATCTAGATTAATGACAACTTTGACTTTCAAAAACATATGTTACGCTGTGCAAGAATAACACTGCAACCAATAATGACATATATCTAGATAGGTGTTTTGGATCTGCAACAGGGATGTGGAACTATGGAACAGATATCAGGAAAGCACTCAGGGAGGTTTAATAAAACAATAAACACGAAATAAAGGAAGAACTATTGAATAGTCTCCCTCAAGGAAGGTATCCTTGATGTGGTGAGGGGCTCTTGATTTAGGGAATTGGATTTGGTGCTCCATGTTCCCGAATTAAGCACTGAATGACCTTCTCATCCCCCCCCCCAGGCGCTGTATTAAATCCTCTGGGTTTAGCGCTTCCTCTTGATTATAATAATAATAATATTGAAATAGTCTACCTGGAATATATAGAGCATGGGAAGATAGTGAGAGGAGTAAAGTCTACACAGAGAATGCCCAGTCTACAACAAATTGACCCACAATAAGCAGATACACCACTAGAAAAAAGCCGGGGAAACAAAAAA